CGTCGCGGCGCTGTGACGCATGCGGCCGACAAATTCGACCTTCGGAGGACCCGTCCTGCCGTTTTGGACACAGCCATATGTCTGTATTTTGTTGTCCCAAACATGTCAACCTCTTCGGACGTTTACCTGGATAAAAAGCCTCAAAAATCCGTAAATTCCACAAAAAATCCATACAACTCGCACCTGGGCGGGGGTCAGCCTCGTTTACGGACAATCCGCACAAGTTGACATGTTGACATGTACTGAATGTTGTTATTTATTTGCATTCTGGGAAAGCAAATAAATCTAAGTTTACCATAGTACCTTACACTGTCAAACTTGTTTTTAGGGGTTCAAATTGGGGTGGGTGGGACATAGCTCGGGGGAGGGGGGCTTCAACTCACCTAGGGCACCAAAATGGCTAGAGCCAGCACTGCCGAGGAGCTCCTGCTTTCTTAAAGGACGACAAGGTGGGCCGAGGTTAACCAGCTTGACCGCGAATGTGGSCCCTAATTTGAGCTGAGAAGTCTCTCGAGGAAGAGAGGACCCTGACCTTTAACCCCGTCCGACTGCCTCTGCTCTACATCCAGACGAACCGAGACCGGAGACAAACAACCAGACAGCAGTGTGGACACACCAYAGCTCTACAGAGGTTTTCCCTCTGTTTACATATTTTCCTGCKTGGTGACGGAGTGAAGGAGCGGGAATGAGTGAGGCTTCAGGTTGCAGCATGCCCACCACCGGAGCGCAGACTGACACATTTAGATTTTAGTCCACCGCATCGTTCCGCTCCTGCAAGTCCTAATCACGCTGTTGAGCAACGGCGTCTTCTCTACGAGTTTCACGTCCATCCGCCCTTTAAGAAACAAATGGAGCAGATTAAAAACTCTCAACACACCTGAATCCAAAAAAAAAAAGAGCTTTTGACTAATCTGTTTACATTAAAGATTATTTCCACGCCCGCGTCGGAGCCTCGCAGGAAAACCCTTTACAATTATTGCTTCATGTAAACACTGTGTGCCCGGACATGTGGCGGCTATAATAGTGTGCACTCCATCAGGGGAGGAGAACGGGACAGAATTTATTTTTAAAAAAAAACAATGTTGCACATAAAATATTACCTCTGTGTCTGTTTGAACCACTTAGTGAAACTTTCTCAAACCAAACATTATATGTACAAAATGCCCCTCTCGTGTCAACCTGATTCAAGATGGCCGCCACAGCTAACTAACCCTAAAAGAAAAAGGGCAATAAATCAGCCAGTTTTACAGTTGAGACAAAACATGGCGGGGGTTGTACATGACAGTCATACGGGGGCCAAGTGTAAAATAAAAAGTTAAAAAATGTCACTAACATTCTTTATTGTTATTTAGCTCAATGCTCTTATTATTTTTTATTAATTTTCACTATACATGTAAATCTAAATGTAAAAGTTGAATCTTAAAAATTGAAGCTAAACGCTAAAGTTTACATTTATGTAATTTGGAATGGAGCACAGCCTTTGCTGTTGGTGTGCAGCTCTTGTGACGATGTCTGCTGCTAACGCTGCTAATAACGCTGCTAACTCTGTTAATGCTGCTAATGCTGTTAATGCTGCTAACATTGATAATGCTGGTAACTCTGCTACTACCGATAACTCTGCTAACGCTAATAATGCTGTTAATGCTGCTAACATTGCTGATAACTCTGCTACTGCCGATAACTCTGCTAACGCTAATAATGTTGTTAATGCTGCTAACTCTGCTGATAACTCTGCTAATGCTGACAACTCTGCTGATGACTCTGCTAATGCAGGTAACTCTGCTAATGCTAATAATGCTGCTAATGCTGCTAACTCTGCTAATGCTAATAATGCTCTTAACGCTTCTAATGCTGCTAACTCTACTAATGCTGCTAATGCTAATAATGCTCTTAACGCTTCTAATGCTAATAATGCTGCTAATGCTGCTAACTCTGCAAATGCTAACAATGCTAATAATGCACTTACCACTTCTAATGCTGCTAACTCTACTAATGCTACTAATGCTAATAATGCACTTACCACTTCTAATGCTGCTAACTCTACTAATGCTGCTAATGCTAATAATGCTAATGCTTCTAACGCTAATAATGCTGCTAACTCTGCTAATGCTAACAATGCTCTTAACGCTTCTAATGCTGCTAACTCTACTAATGCTGCTAATGCTAATAATGCTCTTAACGCTTCTAATGCTGATAACTCTGCTAATGCTGCTAACTCTGCTAATGCTGATAACTCTGCTAATGCTGCTAACGCTGCTAATGCTACTACTGCTGCTAACACTTGCCTACATCACATCTAAATTGCAGTTGTGGCCAGTATCTGAGCTGAACTTTAAACTGTCAGACCACAGGTACCATCCAATTTAAATTTTAAGCGCCATCTTCAGCAGTGTTAGCAACGTTAGCAGATTTAGCGGTTGCTTTTGTTGCAGGATGATGTCGCAACAAAAGTTGCGCACCAACAGTGAAGACTGTGTTCAATTTTGAAATACTTAAATGTAAACTTTAGAATAGCCACAATATTTAACAATTAAATGTAATAATCCACTGTGTGCAGCACACAGACTGTGGTTCCAGTGTTTACACAGATAAACCCGTAAAGCTATGAATAGATTCTGGCGATGATGAAAACCTGCTTTGACTCGTCCGTCTGAGACGCCATAAATAATCAATCATCCCACCGAGTGTTTGCTGTAATTAAACACTGAGCTGCTGCGGAGTGGCTGTGTGGGAAAACCTCAGCTTGTAATTACTGGAGGAGCGAAAGTGGAGAGGACACACCTTCCAAAAACTGAGCGCTGAGAACTCTGGATGTTCACACCGAGACGCTCCTCCTCTGCCTGAGCTGAACTCACGGCGACGACAACAAATCACACTCCTGCTCTTTACCCTGAACCCTGAAGCTAAAGTGAGGCCAGGTGGTGCAGGCTAGAGAGGCGACACCATTATCGCTCATGTCTGCTAAAAAAAAAGAAATGTTTTCATATTTTCGTCCACATTTGGAGGCTCTGCTGAGGAATAATCAGTTTACGCCACGATGAGGATGAAACCTCTGACCTGAAAGAAAAGAAGTCAAGGTTGAAGTCAGTGAAGCAATTTAAGTTTTTGTCTTGTCACACAAAAATGACATTTCAAGCAACACCCAAATTTAATTTCATAGAGAGCAATAAACCAGAATGTGAAGCGGGGCCAGCTGCCCAGTGGGCGGGACTTAAAGCTCCGCCTCCTTTGTACACAGTGAGGTGACCGCTGTAACCTCTGCGCCTCCRTGCTACGACTGAAGAATCCAGTTCAGTTTCTTTATTTTTCACCAGTTCATAACTAAATTCATCTTATTCCTCTACAAAAACATTCATTTATTTAAAAAAATGCTAATTAGTGAAAGATTTCCTGTTGAAAGGAAGCCATTTCTTTCTACTCTTGCCTCAAGTGAAGATTTAATGTAATCTGATGGTTTCCTACGTTAGAAAACTTTCATTATTTTGTAAAGTATTTGAATGTTTCTGTCCAGAAAAAAAAAAACATGGAGGCGCAGTGGTTACAACGGTCACCTCGCTGTGCACAAAGGAGGTGGGGCTTTAAGCCCCGCCCTCTGGGGAGCTGGCCCCACTTCTAAAAAAATTCTCATGTGGACACAAGGAAGTGTAAATTTTTTATTTTAAATTTTAAATTACTCCACCTTGGCTCTTCAGCTCCTCTGACAGTCAGCCTCATCGTGACGTCAGAACCAGGCGAACATCTGAGGGACCAACTGGAAGAACGGCAGAAAAGTACAGAACCAGGGACAAAAGAGAGGAGGAGAAAGAAACAGGAACCCGACTCGAGGTTCAGCCAGAGTGAAGACATAAATCAAAGACGGTGTGAAAACGCAGCACCTCTTTGCTCCTCGGCCAATCAGCTTTCATCCTTTCTTTTTTTTCTCAGAAACCAATCGCTTCTAAGGATTGATGAGCTAACAGTGTGGATGGCTGCTGTTTATCCAGCAGTGCTTAAAACAGCAGAGTCAGTCCGGGTGTAAACATTAACTCGGGCTGCAGAGAGCTGCAGGCTGGGAAAACACTTTCAGGGAAAAAACAAGGAATTTGCTCTCTCACGGCCCAAACTCCACCAGCTCCGGAGAGCAAACAGAGAAAGAAGTTATTAACTTTTAGAACAGGAAAGTTCCTGCACAACACGAGGAACTGAGGCAAACATTTACTAAATGAGACATGAGGTTTTGGACTACGCTCTAAAAAAAACATTGGCTCAACATGAAACAAAAATCTGAGGTAACAATTTGCTTTTAGGTAGTTCCAACTCAGCAACTACTGAGTAAATATTGTGTTTTAGTTTGGCTGCGGTCGTCTGAAATGATCCCAACAGCACGAAAACAGACAAATCTTTACATTTCTTTAAGTTCTGCAGAGATGACGTACATTTTATTTACCATCTGCAGGAACTACGTCACAGACTGTGAGCTGTTTTAGCTGTTTTAGCTGTTTTTCATTCGTCAGAACGTTCAGCTCATCCAGGAGAGGCTGCTGGCAGTTTTAAGTTTTGTAATGATTTTCAAAATGTTTATTTTTCATATAAAATACTTTGAGATCTTAATTCTTTGAAAAACATTTACCTATTTTGACCTGCTTCAGCTGTTTAGTTTGTTTGTTTGTCTTTAAGTTTTTAACTGAAATACCTGTTTGTATTTTACAGAGTCCGCCAAAGGTCAGTAGGAGAAAAAAAAGCATCTGCCGGAAATCCGTGCGCACGGATTGCAGAAACCATGAGCACAGTTTAGTAATCTGTGCTCACTGTTTAGTAATCTGTGCTCACTGTTTAGTAATCCACACAGATTATTAAACCGTGCGCACAGATTTCCAGCAGCTGTTTTTTTTAATCCCACTGACCCCTGGCGGGCTCCGTAGTATTTTAGTTTTTAGCTAGCCCTTTACTATTTTTTACCGTGAGGTAACGATATGTTAGATTTTGGCTAGTCTTTAGCTACTTTCTGTGAGGTAACTGTATATTTTAGTTTTTAGCTACAWTTTCCTACTTTTAACTTTGTGTTAGCCATTTATACGTTTTAGCTATCAACTAGCAATTTGCTACTTTTAAATTTGAGTTAGCCGTTTGTGTATTGGCTAGCCTTTTGCTATTGTAGTGTCCAAGAGTGTGGGGCCTTTTTTCAGGAATGCACAGATGTGATGTCTCTTAGTTTCCAGCTTCAGAGCTCGGCACATATWATCATATTAGGAAGAAGGTATACCGTGACAAAATTTATGGTACATATGTGAAGCCTATAAAGAGCCTTGTACGCCCCCACCCTTAGCCTTCATTCTCCATCTTTCTTACTTGGTGAATCATTTGGCTTGAAGGCCATAATTTGGTTTTTGGCTGTAATCTCCTGGACTGCAAAATAAAGATTCTTGCTGTTCAACCAGCCTGTTTCAGAGTTTCTCTCTTCATTGAGCAGCAGCAGTTCCACTTCAACCAGAAGACGTGGTTTTTACACCTCACTATCTTTAAATTTGAGATAGTCATTTGGATGTGCTAGCTTTTGGCTAGCCTTTTGCTATTTTAAACTGAGTTAAGGGCTCGACACACRGGCAGCAACAAACTACAGCGATTAACAGCTGTCATYGCAGCCAGGGTGAAACCCGACACACGGGACGCRATARCGATCGCACCGTTGCGAATCGCGCTCTCAGGTCGCTTGTCTTCACAAAATTTGATTGGTTCTTGACTCTGAAGGCGGGTGTGCATTACGGACGTGTAAACTAAACAAATCTTGCGATGCTAATATATTGAAAAACAAACACACATCAAGATACAGTTTTATGAGGAAAAACTTACCATAAACTTCACCCTGGTGCCAATAAATTCCCACAAAGCTTTTTAGTAATCACTTGGTGAAAGTGTTAGCTAACTGCAGTGTGTAGCATACTCTCCTCTCATTGGTCAGTCAACGAAACCCTCGCTGATTGGTTGTACGCTAAGTGACAGCGACAAAAGTTGAACATTTTTCAACTTTCATATGTCGCGTCGCAAGCTCGCGTGTGCACGTCTACGTGTACGAGCGTGAAATTTCACATGCACTATTTTCGCCGGTCGCTTAGCTGGAGGAGGGCAAGAGATTGTCGCCTCACCACACAGGCTCCATAGGAAATGAATGGAGAGCGAGCGACGTCGCCTCCTGTGTGTCGAGCCCTTTAGCTGCTTGCATAGTTTAGATTTTAGCTAGCCTTTTGCTACTTTAAACTGTGAGTTAGCAGTTTGTATATGTTAGCTTTTACCTACATTTGTGACACTTTTGCCAACTGATACGTTTAATTTTGAGCTAGCCTTTTGATACATTTAGTTTCTAGTTAGCCTTTTCATTCATTTCATTTACTTTTTGCTAGCATTTTGGGTTTTTAAGCTAGAAATATAACAAATCTGCTGATTTTATTCGACTAAGTTTTTTCTCCAGCTGCTGTCAGATCATGTCTGTGTTGCAGCACAAACTGAACAGATGAGTTTGTTTCATTGCTAGATGACGGACAGTGAGCGAGCGGCCACCATTGGGGTGATGGGGTGTAGGCCATGTGTCCCCTGTGAGGGGGTCTCCTGGTGGGACTTATGGCCTGTGAAAACARTGCATGTCCCCCTGACCCAGAGTGCCACCTCAAACATCCACACACACACAAACAGGTCGACCCATCAGCGCCATGTTGACGCTGAGATTCAGTTTTATTAGAAGTTAAATCTTGATGTTTTTAAAGTTTCAGATCTTAATCTCCAGTTCCTTTAATTGGGCCCCATCTGTCTTCAGGACCGGGGCTCCGCTGGCCGAGTGGCGCTGGTGTCTGAATGGACTGAGCCGGAGAGGTTCTGCGTGCTCGCAGCCTCCGTGGCTAATCTGCTAATGTATTCCAGAGGTCAGGAGGGGTTTCACACCAAATCAATGGAGGGATTTACGCAGCTTTGCCCAGGAATGCACCCCACCCGCACTAAGCTGGGGAGAAAACATCTACCTCTGCTTTGACAGGCTGACCAAATTTCCACTGTATTTAACCACAAAAAAGGAAGAGCTAATACGGTGCACGCAAGAATTTTCTTGACATCCCTTCATTTTAGATTAAATTCTCCTTTAAAGGTTTGAGTGGAAAAAAAACTCAGTTTATTATTTTCCACCGAGTAGAGAGACACAAAAAAGTTTTTAAGCACAAATAAGCATAAAAAATGTGGTTTAGGGTAAAGATTTCTAAGGATTTGTGTATTTTCTTTAGAGAAATGACATTTGAGGGTTTAGTTTGTCAGGCAAAAAAAAAGCAATGTCCCGTTTATTTACCTGGAGGGGGCGGGACTTRAAACTTCCATCCTCATGCTCCATCTGAAAATGTAAAAAAACTCAACAAAGACAAGGTGAAAAATGACACAAAATGTTTGTAAATGATTATAAAAGTTCCACTTCAGACTGTTAAACTGCAGTCAGACTGCAACTTTTTTCAAAACAAATCATTTTACTTTGATCAAAACAATAATTTTAACTATAATTAGGGAGGAGAAAGTGCCTCAGACACTCTGATATGAGCAGGGGCGGAGCTAGACTTTTCTGCAAGGGGTGGCCACAGGGGTCAAATAAAAAAAAAGAAAATCGCTGGTTTTAAAAATCCAAGATGGCTGCCACAGCTAATTCCAAGTGGCTTTATTTCAGGTGTTTTAACAAATATTGAGCTGGAACTTTGGCTGTGTCCAAAACGACAGGCCGGGTCCTCCGGAGGACCCAGACTACCCGGTCWCGGCGGGCCGGGTCCTTGGTAGACCGGGAAGACCGGAAAAAAAGAGGCTGTGAATTTGGACGGTCTAGCCTCCCCTCCTTACCCTGGCGTACGTCTTGTCACCTAGCAACTGTGACGACGCTGAACAAGCAAACTTAAATCAAAACTAGAAAAATATCAATATATTAGCATTATTAATATCACAAAACTATAAAATTAACTTAAAGGTAACATTTGAAGAACTAACTGACCTGCTGTAGGTTCATGTTTATTTCATGTTTTTATGACAAAAATAATATTTAAAAACACGTCCATACAAATGATAAAAGTATTAGAATTACAAACGCTAAAAAAAATTTAAATTTTTATATCACCATATTTTTATTTAAAACGTATTCTTTTGTCTCGCTTCGTCCGCCATTACTAGCTTAAAAAAATCTCCGGTCGGGCCGCAATGCATTATGGGATATGCTGGGCCGGGAAGGATCCATCGGACCTGTCCTTTGATTCGGGCCAAAGGAAGGACGTATTTGTCGGCCGCATCGGAGGAGTCTTCGGTTTGGGACGTCCTTCGTCGCGGCGCTGTGACGTATGCGGCCGACAAATTCGGCCTTCGGAGGACCCGTCCTGCCGTTTTGGACACAGCCGCTATGTGATGATAGCTAAGAGTGAACCAAAAAACAAGCCGAATGCTAGTTGCAACTTGTTATTCAGCCATTTTTACACATACAAAGCTGAAGATTTGTGCAGAAGTAGCCAAAAACAAATATCGATTTTTAGATGCTAATCAAAAATTCAAGATGGCCACCACAGCTAACTTTAAAAGGCTATAATTCAACCATTTTAAGACTTATTAAGATTAAATTAATTGAGGAGTAGCTAAGAAAGAAGACATCCTGATTGCCGATGCTAATCTTAAAATAAGCTAACCACTATGCTAATGCTAATTTTACAAAGAGCTGTAATTCAACCATTTCCAAACAAACACAACTGGAACATTATGGTATGGTAGTATCAGAAAACAATCTTCAACAAAACCTAATTGCAAATCCAATCTGCTTGTCAGTTATTTGGGGGTGGCACCTGAGGTGGCCAACCAGGTGCCAGCGGTGGCACCTTGCCCACCTCTCTGGCTCCGCCCCTGGATATGAGCTCAGGACAGAAATTGTATTTTCCTCACATGCTGTTTTACTGGAGTGTGTGTCAGAGAGGTCTGGTGTGAGGAGGAATGCAGCGACACATCCCTCCTCTTCATACGGTCTCATTAATAAGCTGATCTGGGCCAGACCGACGAGGTACCCCCAAACCCAGACAACCAGACATCAGGACAGAGACCCAGGYTGGGATCAAACCACAAACATCCCTGGATTAAATCTGCTTTTAGCAGCATCAACATGGAAGATTTACAGAAAACATTTTAGAGAATAAAAACATCAAATCTTTGTAAGTTTTCCTAAAAGGATGTGAAAAAATAGTGAAAAAACTCAGACTTGTTTGGATCATTCAGTTTAAACAAAAAAAGGTGAACTTTACGAGACTGAACTGGCATTTTTATTGTTTCTTTTTATAAGACCGCTAACATTTGAGCTGTCGAAACTTATCAAAATCACAGAAACGTCTCACTTCTTACAGGTTTTACACGAAACTTGAATCATTTTGTCTTCTTTCACTCATAACTGCGGTAACCAGCTTCAATGTTTTTAACCATTTTGTCAGCTTAGGTTACAACAAATCTTCTTTAAAGACCAAATAATAATAAATTTGTCTTTAACGATTTCAGCTGCAAACAAATCCTTGTTTCTAACGCTGCAGAACTTTTCCCGCCCTCCTCCCATCATCGCTCCGGTCTGACTGCGTGAGCTCGTCTCTGCTGCAGCGCTACATGATCTGTTTACTAATGCTGCCTTTCCACTCTGGATCAGGAAGAAAAGACAAARAAAAAAAGACATTTAATAAAGCTAATAAAGGGCTGAGCTCAGTGTCTGACGG